CATATCAACTGATAATATCAATATTCCCGCTGATATACGAGTATTCACGCATTTTTACACTTTGTTGATGTTTAATAGCATAGTTTGCAATATAATAGCAAGACTTATTCTTATTGGCACTGACATTTACTTCAACAGTCTAACAATACATTAAACCGTTACCGTTTTTAGGTAAACACGTCACTTCGGAATGACTAGACGGATTCAGATAATTATTTTCTATAATGTTGTCTCTACGTTTTTAAAAAGCTACAAAGGTTTCTGGAAAAATTAAACATTTCTCAGAAAATTAATGTTTCTTAGTCATGAATGATGCTGGAATATTTATACACAATTTTTATTTTTTGGAATTACAATACATTTTATATTGGAACATTTTAATATAAGCCACATTATATGATCAAACTATAGTAAAATCCTTTGTGGTAAAAAAAATTTGTTGAAGACCTATGTCAAAAATATTCCTCTGCCCTAATACTACCTCTCTTTAAACGAGCATGACGAAAATTTTATAAAAAACTAGATATAATATTAATAAAATAGTCCCTGATGGTTAGTAGTTTTTAAACAAACACGATGAACTAAATACAAGTACCTATCACCAACACAGTATTGAAAAAATACACATAGCTAGTTTGTCATGGTTGATCGGATCTTTTATGCAATGTTTTTTATTCATGATGTCGCGGTGGTCCACTTACCATGACTTCCTGCCATAGTATATAAACTATTTATTTTAAAATTGAAATACGGTGTGAAACTAAACGTATTAATCACTGTAACAAGTAATTCAAATTTACAAAACTTAACGTACTGTTATATGTATAACTCCATTCATTTCGTAGATAGTTCATAAACTGTATTTACTAGCTACTCCACTTACACTGAGGCATCAAGAGGATCCCATTGGAATCCTCTAAATGCCTATGTTGTATATAAATGTGTATGTTTATATAAAATGCGACCAATTTGCCAAATTAAATCTTTTGGGGTTAAGTCAGATCACAAGCAAACACCGCAATTGCCTAGAAAATAAAAATACATAATTATTACAATAATAAGCCAATTCAATCAGTCATCTTAAGTAATGTGTTTGGCAGCGAACAGTAACCTGCCTTGTTTTTGCCATTTTTCTTATTTATTTTTGTTTTGATAAATTTTAAAGTAATTAATAAAACCTGTTACTAGGCGTATTCATGCAAATATGTCATATTATTTTTTCTTAAAGACTCGTGATCAGAATTTGGGTGCTATTTGAGACGATATCACTAGTATGGATATGACGATATGCCCGGGATTCCGGTAATTACAGTAAGGCTTAAAAATATTTGATATTATTTAAAATGTGTGGAAATCTCGTTTGTTTAAGAAATACGTTTATTCATTAGTATTAAGCGTTTAGATTTAAACAGTAGAGAATTACAAATGAATAGGTAGGGTTATCCTTAAAAGGGCAACAGAAAATAATAAAAACATTCTAAACATGAAATTGATTATTTTTTTAAGCCTTTCGCTACATTAAGATATCCCATTTTAGATATCCCAAAGTTTTTATCGGAACTTTACCTACTACACAATACCTTGACAAAAGTCGAACCCGATTTCGTACCACACTAAATTTGTTCTGGGTCAAACCGATATACCCTACATTTTGCATGTCAAGATATACTAGTGTAGCTTAGAAAATCTAGTCAATCAACGGGTTTGGCTTAAACAAACTAGTTTAGCCTGATATTCGGTTTGCACAGCCACATTCTACTGTTTTAGATTGTTTATCGATTGTTTATGGTTTTTGCAAAATTGTTTACATGGACCTGTTATACTACTCATTATTATTTTTTATAAAAATAAACTTTAAGTACCTATTAAATGATTATTTCATTTACTTATTAAAAAAATCCTAACGTATATATTTTTATTGCATGAAGTATGAATTATTTAGAAAAAAAAGCGTTGAATAGAAGCACAAGAATCATTATCATTCAGAATTCTAATTCCCGAAAACTTTTGGTCAAAGTACCGATTCACGGGATTTTTTGGTCACATCCATACTTTTGATAGTAATAGCACCCAAGATTCCGATCTACAGTAATGACCTAAGTATAAAATGAGTCAACCAATGACCGTTGAGAAAATACCTAGATGTAAAAACTAACGTATTCCAGAAACGCAAACAATCCGTTTCTTGAACAAAAGGTGCGTTTGCATAGAGGACAACGCATATGAATTTAAATAATGATCGATCATGAATACCATGATGCAAATAGCGATAAACGGACCAACAAATTATAGGTTAGCAATACAATGAATAACAAAATACAAATGCCTCGGTGATCGTCCAACGAATCACGTGAATACATAATGTCAAAAGAGTTGCACATTGTCATATTTACAACAATATACAGTTACAGTTTCATATTTAAAAAAAGCTAGATGATACTCAAAATATTGTTAGGGATAATTTGATAGGGGATATGAAAAAAATATTTTTGCCACTGTAATTTGTCTCATCGTCTCGAGCGGATAAAGAAAACAAATACCAACTACAACTAATATTTATTTATTTCTAATTAATTATATACGTCATTGCACGGCATTATAATATTTCATACGAAAATGTATTCCTATTCATTTATTTTCGTGGTTAAATTGGATATATTATATGCAAATGTGTGAAGTCATGATTTCATAATCAACCAAACTTCTATAGAAATTATTAATATCATTATTAATATTTTTTATAGAAATTTAGAAATAAATTTCTATAGACATTATTAATATTAAAACGATGTTTATTAGTGTGCTACTTTTTTCAGCATTTATACACCATTAAATTAGTCGAAGAAATATCAATTTTACCTTATAATAATTTTAAGAGAAATAAAACCAAGACAGTTTTTAGAAGTTGCACGATTAGCAATTAAGCTCAGCAGACAGGAAAGCGCCTTATACTAATCTATTTTTAACATGATCAAAACTATCTATAGGACAAGAGGGTCAAGTAATCCTACGGATAGTCCACAACCAGATAGACCGCCACCACCAGTACAGATACCATGACAGAACGGATAGCATGATAAACCACATCAAAGTTAGGTTAAAAGTTATCAACTATTTCCACTGAAGATGACAAGAGTGATATAAAAGACTTCTTCCTGAACAAAGGCGGTGTTTAAAAGGTAGATTTGTAGTTTTGGTAATATAAAGGTCAGACTTTGATTGAAAAATAATAACAATACTTAATGTAGGATGAGCCAAATCTTACAACTGAAAAATTTCAATATTCATGTATTTTTATCTCGGAAAAAAGTTTCCTATGAGATTTTAGAAAAATGAACCATGTTTTATGGAACATTATCATAATATATATACAGTGCGAGGAAAAAGGTGTGAGCAGAGTGTATATTAGCTTCTGCTGGCGACTTCTAAACATCGGGGCATTTTTTTTTTGGATTGAATTGATAACTGCGATGACAAAACTGTTCTATAACACTTTCGGAAGCTAGATCGTTAAGTGTACAATAAGTGACTGAGGCAGGATTTAGGCGCCACATGTCCAAACATTGTGTTACTCGTAGTTAAACACTCATGTGTTCAGCATGTCACCATCGGTAAACACTTAAACAGACTACTGTTTAAGTGTTTATCAATAGTGACATGCTGGTAATGGTGGTTTTTCCATTAATTCCAATATATTTATGTCGACACTGGTATCACAGTGAATATAGTACCAAGAAAATAAAAACAAACTCGCTTTTAACGAGAAATGGCAGTGTTTTGGTATAGTTTATCGTTGGAGAGATACAACGAATTTCGTCAATAACAAACACAAATTATATACTCCGCGTATATTATTGTGTATGTGAAATTCATTGTCCTATAATAACAACATAAAGTAAGATTAGATATTTTTGTAAGAAATTGTAAATTTATATACTTGAGACTTCAAAACATCTACACAATAGATAATAGAAGAATAAATACCGGTCTGGTATTAATAACAATAATATCCACACGGATTTATCCGTGTTTTACAACTATTTACTAAAATATATATAAATAGATATTTTTCTGTAAATATATAGATACTGTACATACCCAGGACAATCTATACAGACATATTCATGTTTATAAACATTCGCAATGAGATGGAATCAAAACAGCGACCCCCGCGTGGCAGACGAAACAGTTCCTAGAGATTGCCGATTGATCAAATTGGGAATATGGTCTTGTTCTAGTCGTGTTCTACATTGATGATGTAAAATCCAGTTTATAAAATTGTAGTACAGAAAACAAATTATTAAATAACGTTTTAAATAAAAATGCTGCAATGTTGTTCTACAAATTAACAACAAATATTTGTAATTAAATTAGATTGAGACTTTTTAATTCCTACGTGTTAAGCACTGTTTATTTTTTATATTGACCACTTAATTTAAAAGTTATTCGACTACCTTAACTAAATTTATTAGAAGTAGTTCTCGGGATGACAATAAGATTAATTTATTTTCAATTATACTGTTAACTTAACGTTGAATTCTGAGTAATATTTGAATCATCGCTGCTTATTATTTTGTTATTTAACGTTCCCATTATTACACCACGCCAACTGATAACGTAACTATGAATCATGACACATTTGAAAAATACTACACCATACTCTTGCTTTGTAACGAATATTATCAATTGATAAAATGCATGAGGAAACCAAACCAAACCAACCAACTAGCAACCAAACCAAAAACATTGTTGTTTTGCGCGTAAATGATTCATTTTTAAATGTTGTGCTGCAAATTGGATGTTTATTCAAAATATTTTTTCTATATTAGGCGATCTCTATATTAAGGAATATAATTATATTGTTTAGTCATCATTTGACACGCAGTCGCAAAGAGATCGATCCAGCGTTTTTGGATACCAGCCAATTTTGTGGTCTCCAGCACAGTGTGTCACCGTGCAATGACTTTTTATGTAGATAATATCTAAGGTAAAATACAGACCAGTCTAGCAACGGATGTAAGATCCCAGGCGGACCGGGTCTTGCCCCGAGGCTGGGTGCCATCTTTCCGCCTGCCAAGAGAACCGTATCCCGACGGTACGGCTGTTTCCTCGCGTTTACGACGCCCGCCACCGCGTCTTAGAGACGAAAACCAATTGGACACAGATCCACGTCGCTCCGGTTCGGCCGGTCCCGGCCCAGCCTTGATAAACATTACTTCACAAGTGCAGACGCACCACGCACATTACACTCTCACACACTGCAGGCCTTGACCATACGAACACCAAGATTAGAGAAGCTAGCAGCCACAAAAAACCTATATAAGCCCACAACACATTTTAAATATGATGAGTTTTAAGAAAGCAAATAAAGTGGAAAAGTGGCTGAATTGCGCGTCGCCGGACAGTGTGTACATGCCGGTTGTTGTGTGTAAACCTACAGTACATTTACTTGCCAACAAAAATAAGTGAAGCTAAACAACAAAGAAATACATTAACTGCAAAGTGCAAAATAAAGCGGCATCGATGACACACCTGATCATAGCCGTCGTCGTAGGTCCGTGCTGCGCGGGCGCAACGTACCAGCAGTGGCCACCACAGCGCGCCGCAGAGCAGGCGTACATGCAAACACATCCCTCTAAGGAACGCACTAAACTGAAGATAGTCGCGAGCGCCACCGATCTTTGGCACCGTGACAATTTTATATATTTACATAGATACCGCTTTATCTTTCTGCACGTCTGTACTGTGACAAGGCCGTCACCTCTACTAATTTGTAAGTCTTAAGAAAACAAACAGCAATTACAAAATACCCGTAAGGTCTAATTCTTTAACCCCAACTACCCTCAGTATGATAAATATATTTCAGTAACATGATTCAAAAGAGATAAGTACTATTCTAATTTACAGTCATATCTGTTATCAGGCCATAAACATATACGAGTATGTAATCAGCCGGCCGTGGTTTATTCAAACTGTCTGGGAACAAATTCATTAAGCCGTAAATTGGATTCTTAGTCAGTGCAACGTATATCGCAATATTGGACTGTGGACAGTTCTGTTATCGCCACTTGCAGCCTCACTGCGGAAACGGTAAAGGAAATATGATAAATCCATCGCGAACATTGTCCGTCCGGTTTCAGTAAATATCAAGTTCGATTCAAAACAAGGATTCATTCGATAAATGCATTGCTCAGTATTATTCCAAAAGAATGATCTTTTGCGCAACAAACTCATACAAAATATTCAAAAAAAGACATGTGTCTTAGAAAGGACAACAATATTGTTAGTTAAGGCCGACATTGTGAACAGAAGTTCTGTGCCATATCAGCATTTTATTGGCGAATATTTAAAAAAAAAGTTTTAAAAGTAAAGGAATTTAACAAAAGAGTGAATAAGGCCACAATTGAAATTGTAATAGCAATTGAGGATCTGTAATGAAGACATTCAGGTAAACAATGATGATCATAGTATGTACGTAAATGGTTAATTGCAACACATTAATCTCTTTATAATTCATTAGGCCCTTGATGTCATAGTGTAATTATTCCACGTTACCTGCAATTTATCATACTGAAGGTTAACTAGTCTTAGGAATTTCGCAATAAACAAGATAATTGTTTTCGAAGCTTAAATCTTTAAGTCTATCGCTTCAAATTTATTATTGATGTGACGATTATAGACATGTCATAGAGAATGACAACTATTCAAATACAATACCATAAGTCATAAAATGTATTAACAAAACCCCCGCTGTCCGACGACGTAGTCATAGCAATTTCCACTTATCTGCCTTATCACTATAAACTTACGTATGTATCACTACTCGAACTAACAGATATAAAACACACGTTATTTTATTTTTATTCACAATTGTTTTTTTTAACAACTTTGTACACAACACTAAAAGAATGAAGTGATAATAATAGAGCGACGGACGGCGACACGTCACGACAGTGCTGCGGCCCGCCTCGCACTGGCTTACTACCAGGCTCTGTATAGTAAGCCCAACCCAAAGCATTGACGGCTTACGTCAGACCAGTCCGCATGCCGTATTGAATGAAACGAATAGGGATGGGGTGTTTGGTCTTTGCGATACACTTTTAATAATAGGAATTTGTATTAATAAACTACGAGTTTAAATAGCCCTAACTGACAGTGAGTATTTGAGCAAATATTAGATTCATAATAGTTTGTTAACCATTGTATCCTTATAATATCTTGTATGGTTAGTGCCACTCCTGAGTATTAGATAATAGTTTTATAATCTACGTCGATAAGTGGGCCTCATAGTGCATAAGGAATTTAATCGGTCTGGTAATGTACCTAATTAATAAGATAAAAATAAGCCAACACCTGTGTGATGTAAGATGTTTTGAAAGTAATATATTAAATAATTCGTTAAAGTTAAAGAGAAAAAAAATGTTCTACCTTAATTTTCTGAAAAACCTTTTTATTAGATAAAAGTTTCAAAAGGTTTTTCGGATCAATATCTTAGGCTCAATTTGTACCGCCGCGGAATGGAATGGAAGCGTCAATTTCGCCTCATGACGTTAGAAGGCGCACGAATTCTCCGGTAAATTCATAAAACTTCGAACCTAGGACAACAATTATAATTTCAATTTTAGGTTTAAATATAGATTAATATAACAAAGTACATGTAGAAACATAATTCAAAGATCCGTGATCCTTACGGTTTATTTATAGTTCATTAGAACTTGATAGTAAAGTATATATTTAATTTGTTTTTTTTTTGTATAATGTGGACAAATCTCAAATAAATTGAATAAACAAAGATGGTTTTTTTGTTCTGTTTACAATGGGTAAAGGATCAATGTAAACACAATAACAATACGTGGAAAGCCACGGATTAGGACATCGCGAGATTGAACTCATATCAGCACCCCATGACAAAATCACAAGGAGGTAAGGTGCTGAAGGTGCCAAGATACGGTAATCGGCCGACTATGTACCGATCCAGAGGTAGAACAATCACTTTTCAATGGTTTTTTGACTAATTGTCGTATAGGACGACTCAGAGGTTTGTGGGTATTTAATAAGATAGTCAGAAATAACAGGTCCTATTGAAATTTTGCTAACTTGGGAGAAAGAAACACTCTTTATCTATGCAGCCATGTTAGTTCAGAATTTAAACGAAATACACAAGCATCTTCACACGGGAACGATGCCGCAGATGAGTTGGCAAGGAGGGGCTCGGCAATCCCGACTTCCGGCCCAACCACACTCCTGCCCATATCGTTTAACCAAATACGATGCTGGGTCAGGCAACAGACCTGTGAAGCACACAACCGGAGGTGGAAAAACTCACCCGGCTGCAGACTGTCCAAACTGGTGCTGAATCAAGTCACACCACGACTCACCTACAGATTGATGAGTCTTAGCAGACTGGAAATCAGAATGGTTGTCGGAACTATTACAGGACATCTAGCCCTGAACCGACAACTATTCATCATCAAGGCGATGGACAGTCTCCTGTGCAGGGGATGTCTGGAAGCTGAAGAAACGGCCGTTCACGTAATCCTGGAATGCGACGGAGTGGCCACACAACGGGCAAGTATCATTCCCGATGTAAAGTCGCTCCTAGAAGCCTGTGAACGCCCCAGGAGGCTTCTGCGCTTCTGGAAGGAGCTCACCTGGCTCACCTAGTCAACCAATCCTCAACGCATAAAGGACCACTCTGAGTCTAAATGCGGAAACCGAAGCCCACAACCATTACCAATACCTATACTAGACATCTAGACTCTTAGTAGCACAGAACTGTTAACTATTTTATTCTGAAATGAGCAAGCATAACTTAATGGATGCTAATGCAATGTAATTAAAACAAATCATAAGCAGTAATCTAAGTGTGTTTTTAAACATAAACAAAAATAGTGTACATTTTAAAATGCTTTTATTAGCTTGGTATGTATGTATCTGTGTAACGGAATATTTGTACATGGTATTCACCCACTTTAGAAAGTCAGATTGAATTCAAACTTCGCACACTTATGAAGGGCCAATGACAATATAATAATTTAATAAATTTGTCTGATTGTCCTGATCAGGTCCCTCATTTTATGGCTTTTTCCATACCTAAAAATACAGTAGAGTCTTTTGCCACATACTAAGGAGTGTGCTGAAGCATATATAACTTGAAAGTTTAATAAACTTCATGAAAAAATAGCTAAAAAACCATAAATCAATAATATATTTCAAAAATGTGAACTTTGTTTATTTATTATTTTTGATCATATTATCAATTTCCATCTGCCCCTTTGATTCAGTGGTTAGTGATCCTGATTGCTAAGCGAGAGGTTGTGGGTTCGATTCTCACCCACAACAAATAATTGTGTAATGAGCACATATGGGCGTTTCTCTCTAAACTGGGCAACTCATTGTCTCAGGCTAATTTTGTTAAAAAAATAAAAGTCCGTAAATATTTCGTAGATAATTCCAAAAATCAATACCTTAATCTACCGCTGCTCAACATAAAAAATCGACTAAAATAAACTTTATTATATTAAAAACGTTTTTATAGTTCTTAAAAACCAGTCCCCTGGCATGTCACCAAAGCAGTATAGTTATTTCAGACTAAATTAATCGAGATAGTATCTATTGGAATTAATCGAATTTTTGTATTATTAAATCAATATTGTTTGATTGTCAATGAGACCTATTTATTTTACATAAATATTATTTTACAATTTAAAGAAAGGCAATGAAACTTTGTCTTCGCATTTAGTGAACAGTCCCCCTGTCTATATTTTAAATTACGTGTCGCGTAGCCGAAAGGTTAAACAACGCCTTTTATGCGTGTAACGCAACGCAACAAGTTTGAAGTTTGCGCGATTGCCGCCATGACGACCCGAACGCCAACTTATTTAGTAGTGTTCGAGCGTCCTTCCGTGGAAGCCGCGTTGTAACCTGACAGCCAACAGTCCTCTGGTAAGGATTATTTTACTTCTATTTATGTATTTTAATGATTCCTTCAAATATTTAAATTGTTACAATAGATATATACTTCCTATGTGCAGCAAAGTAGCATAGATCAATTACATTTTGTACTACTCATCAATGAAATCAAATTAAACAGTCCCCTGGCAACAGTCCCCTGTCTTTCTACAGGACAGGGGACTATTTCAGCATCCAGAGGACTGTCTAAATTATATTTGTTATTGTTTTAGATTTGTTTTGAGAATGGCACCAAAGAAAA